CCCTAGGCCATGTGGAAAATGCGGTGATCCTGGTCATATCATTAAATTCTGCCCAGAGAAGCCCGGTATGCTGCACAAGCAGCAAAAGGCAACCGTCGGTAGGGGTCGCAACTGCCCTTACCCCTAGGCCATGTGGAAAAGAGTGCGCGCACCACAGCGGAACTCCCAAACCACATGAGCCTATGACGTAGGTTGCTGGCCAGTACCTAGATAGTTGTCCAGAGACCGCTTGTGTTAGAGTTTCGCTATGTACTTCCCTCACAGGCGTGGCTGAAGAGTTGGAGAGGATGCCTGCCTAGGCCAAGATGAAGAAGGATGCCAAAGGACAACTAGTTTTAGTAGATGTAGAGATTTTCAGAGGTAGAGTAGGGGCCCTTGTAGACAGTAGGGCCACCTGCAACTACATCAGTAGGAAAGCGCTGCAGAAGTTGAAGTTGAATCTGAAAGTCCAAAAGTTAGCAGACCCTATAGTTAGTATCCTCGCAGACAATCGCACTATGCAAGTCGAGGACTGCATTGAGGGAGTCCAGGCGTATTTTCGCCTAGAGAAAGATGGGAAAGTGGAGAAAGTTCTCCATTTCCTGACTCTCCTCGTAGAGGATAGCCTTCCTTTGGATATAGTCCTAGGGGTGGACTAGGGGGAGGCAGCAGGGGCCACACTTCATTTGAGAGGGCACAAGTGTAGGCTCCCTACTCCCACAAGTGAAGTTAAGGCTGATCGCCTGTTCCATGTGTCTGGAGTAGACAACACCCTGGCACATTGCTGCCTCAGTGCTCCTGCGTTCGCGCGTTTAGTAAAGAAGGAGCAATTGGAAGAACAGGTATTTGTATCCTACGTGAGGCCAGTCATTGAGCCTAAGGAGGAGAAACCCCTAGACCCTGCCATTGCCAAGTTGCTGGAAGAATATACAGATTTAGTTAAGCCGCCTACAGGAGTAGCGCCGCGACCGATCAAGTATCGCATAGAGATAGAGCCTGGTAGTAGGACTCCTAAGGGAGCGATTTATAGAATGTCCCCAAAGGAGTTAGAGGAGCTACGTAAGCAGTTAGACGAGCCCCTTGAGAAGGGTTGGATTATGCCAAGTTCGTTCCCATTTGGAGCACCTGTTCTCTTTGTCCCCAAGAAAGAGGGAGAGCTCAGAATGTTTATAGACTGTAGAGGTCTTAATGCTATCACAGTAAAGAATGCAGAACCACTGCCCTGTATAGATGATCTGTTGGATCGGGTGCAGGGCTGCAAGTATTTTTCGAAGATAGATTTAAAGTCCGACTATCATCTGATAGAGATTCGCCCTGATGATCAGTTTAAGACAACATTCCAGACTAGATATGGGCACTATGAGTTTATAGTTATGCCCTTTGGACTAACCAGCGCGCCAGCGACTTTCCAACGTTGTATGAACGATTTGTTTAGGTCGTGGTTAGATAGATTTGTTGTAATATATCTAGATGATATTCTAGTGTTCAGTGAGACCCTCCAGGAGCATGAGGGCCATCTAGGGCAGGTCTTGGAGAAGCTTAGAGAAGCTAACTTTAAAATCAACACAAAGAAGTGAGAATGGGCCAAGACGCAAGTGTTGTACTTGGGCCACATCTTAGACGGAGACGACGTTAGACCTGAAGATAGTCAGATTGCAGCAATTAGAGACTGGCCAACGCCCCGCACACTGATAGAGTTGCGGTCGTTCTTAGGCCTAGCTAATTACTATAGGAAGTTCGTCAGGAGCTTCTCCACCATCGCTGCACCCCTTCACAGGTTCCTAAAGAAAGAGACAATATGGAAGTGGGACAAGGACTGTACAGTTGCCCTGAAAAGATTAAAGTGAGCCCTGATAGAATATCCAGTCCTTAAGGTAGCCAATCCGTCCCTGCCTTTCGTTCTTACCACTGACACGAGTCAGTATGGCATAAGTGTTGTTTTATAGCAAAACAATGACAATGGATATAGGCCCGTAGAGTTCATGTCCGCCAGGATGCCTTTAGAGAAGGTGGCGACATCCACCTATGAGAGGGAACTCTACGCTCTCAGGCAAGCATTAGATCACTGGAAGCACTACTTGCTTGGGAGGCACTTCAAACTCTATTCAGACCACGAGACTCTACGGTGGTTGAAGACGCAGGCCAAGATGACACCTAAGCTTACTAGGTGGGCCGCTGAGTTAGATCAGTACGACTTTGAACTTAAGCCTGTTAAAGGGAAGTACAATGTAGTAGTGGACGCTCTGAGTAGGAGAGCTGATTACTTTGGGGCAATAGTTTACTATCTGGATATAGGGAGAGACCTGCAGCAGAAAGTTAGAGAGGCATATGCAGAGGACCCTATCTATAGTGACCTCCTCAAGAGAGTTAGGGAGGCCCCAGAGTTCGAACCAGACTACCGCACTACTGATGGCTTATTATTCGAGAAGACTAATGTAGTTGACCGCCTGTGCGTTCCCAACAGTGAAGAGATCCGTAGTTTGATCTTAGGGGAATGCCATGATACAGAGGGACACTTTGGTTGGCAAAAGACACTAGCTAACCTCATGCGTGCGTACATCTGGCCTGGTATGAAGGCGGACTTTATAGAGTATGTCCGGAGTTGTAAAGTCTGTCTGCGGAACAAGACTACTACACGAACCCCTCTTGGTCTTCTCAGACCATTGCGTATTTCAGACAGAACCGGAGATTCTGTGTCCAACGACTTTATGGATACTCAGACCAGTGAAGTCATGGTCATAGTAGATAGACCTAGCAAGTATGCAGTTGTTGTTCCTTTGCCTGCAGAGGCACGCACAGACTTAGTAGTTGAAAAGTTTTTTGACCATTGGGTCAGTGAGCATGGTATACCGCTGTTGATAGTTAGTGACAGGGATACCAGATTCACTAGTCAGAACTGGCAGGAGCTGATGAAAGTCTATGGCTCAAAGTTGTTGATGTCATCTGGTCGTCATCCTGAGACTAACGGCCAGACTGAACAGATGAACAAACTCCTGCAGCAAGTTCTTAGAATGTACATTAGGCCCGATCAGATCAACTGGGATGAGATGCTCACAAAGGTAGCCAGTGCCTACAATAATATTGTGCACTTATCTACGTGTCGCACTCCCAATGAATTGCACAAGTCCTTTAGACCGCGCAGACCATTTGAAGGACTTAACCGGGATCAGATTCAGAGGCTACCGCCCGGTACACGAGAGTTCACGATACAGCACGAAAAAGCGATAGCTACCGTAGTTGACAACCTCAGGAAAGCCCAGCACAGAATGATAGAGCAAGCTAACAAGCACCGTCCCCCCTCACAGTTTCAAGTAGGCGACTTAGTCTGGGTCAAGTCAAAAGAGTTTGCTCCTGAGGAGACCATCTCACAGAAGTTGTTACCTGCGTATAGAGGACCGTGGCCAGTCCTAGAAGTCAACTGCGGAGAGGATGGACTGTCCTATACTGTCGAGATTCCAGCACACCTCGACACCTACCCAGTGTTCCATGCGTCAAAGCTGTTGCCTTGCGTCACAAGTCAACAGTTTCCATCTCGCAGATCTATGATTCCTCCAGATATGGAGGTAGAGGTCGTCCACAAAAGCAGTATGAAGTTAGATTTGCAGTTCAAGAGCCCGAAGACGACCGCCGGTACACACGTACAGAACTTCTAGAGACAGCTCCCGACATAGTCAGAGCCTACGAAAGAGATAAGAAGGGTAAAGGTCCTGCCTTAGACTGAAGTATTCTCGGAGGACCTCGAATTTAGGCTGGCGGGAGTGAAACGTTTTTCACCTATCTGCAGTCACAGATGCGGGCACCAGAGTTCGATCCCCAGACCTTACCTTGCCCGTATATGGTATCGAGTCTACCCCCGAGTGTTTGAACCCGTGACCTGTGTTTTGGTAGTTGTTTGATGTCTGTCGTAGGTCTGTGTAGTTGTAGGGGTTCAATCTGTAGACCTGTCGAGTAGGGGTCATAGCTCTGTAGAAGTCGTAGCTGTAGGTGTTCTGAAAGGTCAAGGTCGTAGCTGCTACAGTCCTGAAAGGTCAAGGTCGTAGCTGCTACAGTACTCGAAAGGCCAAGTCCACGGATCCGGAAGGTCTGGAAGTGGCCTTTCGGAGTTGCCTCACGTTTAGTCAGAGGCAAGTGGGCAAGTGGTGAGCCCAACTGCGTTACGTCGGCAGTGCGACTGCATCGAGTTGGCAGTGCAAACCCATGCAGTCGGCGGTACCGGTCCAGTCAGTCCCAGTCCAGTCAAGCAAGTACCATGAGGGACTGTGTGCACCAGGGGGCTGGTGAAAAGGGGCAGACCAACGAGTTACGGAAGTATAAATCAAGAGGCAGCGCCCAGCCATTCATTCATTTGCTGAGTAAGCCATGCAAAAGCGCTGCTACAGCGTCTTGTGCGAAGGTGGTCTGCAGGTTGCCCGAAGATGAAGTGGTCTGAAGGGAGATCGTAGCCATAGTCAGTAGTGGTAGTGCGGCCATAGCCGCTGTAGGAGGAAGTGAGATTAAGCGTATGTGTGTGGAGGTATTCAGGGTGATCCAGAGTGAGCGTGTGTGAACAGTGGGGTTGGACACAGTGACGAAGGTTAGGATGTTCAGGCGCCGATGCGCCATAGCCTGCTGAAGTGAACGTGCATCTGAACTGTGTTCTTGATTTCCATATCTCTAAGCTTTGAGCGGGCGCCCTGTGCCAGTGTGAATCTCCCTCTGTTTGCATGTATGTCAAGTGGAAGTGGAAGCGAGTCTGATTGCAAGTGAAGGGTATCTGTAGAATTGGATCAGCTGGCGATAAATGTGCTAATGTCTATTTGAAATTGATAATTTTGAATTTGAATTTAATTGTCAATGTCAATGTCAATGTGAAGCTTAGTGGGTGGTTTCTGCTGTAGAAGTGAACCAGTTGTTGTTGATGCTGGTGCTACCTTCTTCACCGGAAGACAGCTACTCCCTTCACCTTGTCATTTCATCTGTATCTGGCCTGAAAATTGCATTAAATACAGATGACCGGACACAGCTATAATAACTGGGTTATCTCTGTATCTGGGCTGAAAATTGCACTAAATGCAGCTGTAATGACCGGGTGTTTTCTGTATCTGGCCTAAACAGCTATAATGACCGGGTGTTATCTGTATTTGCATGAAAATTTGACTAAAGAATACAGCTGTAATGTCCGGGTGCTCTCTATATCTGGCCTGAAAATTGTACTAAAGACAGCTACAATGACCTGGTGTTCTCTGTACCTAACCTGGAAATTGCTCTGATCACAGCTATAATGACCGGGCGTTGTTTTTTGGGGGACAAGGCAGCGCCGCAAATCAAGAGAAGTGGGGCTCAGGCACCTGGGTGCCACCCACACATTTTGAGCTATGGAGGAATGAGAGGTGGTCTCTTCTGCAGAATGTGACGAGTTGGCAATGCAGGTGGTACTAGCAAATTGAGAGAAGTCGAGATAGACCCCCCCGCCCCCTCCCTCTCCCCCCCAAGGCCATGATGCGGAAGCCCTGAAGTATGTTTAGAAATACAGCATGGGTAGCTCCAAGGCAGGCATGGTGGGTTCCAAGGCAGGCATGGGGGGCTCCAAGGCAGGCATGAGGGGTTCCAAGGCAGGCATGAGTGGTTCCAAGGCAGGCAGAGGGGGTTTCAAGGCAGGCGCGAGGGGTTCCATGGTGGGTATGGGGGACAGTGATGGAGAAATGGAGATCAAACTGGTCCCGAAGTACCTAGAGAGCTTATTGGGCTCCGAACGGGGCCGAGATTTGCGGATAGACGTGCACCCTTGGAAGCCATGGGTGCTGTTCACACATGACGGGAGAACAGTGCAGATATGGAACTATGAAAATAGGACACTGGTTGCCTTTTGGCGAGTCCGCAAGGGGCATGATGCCCGGGAAGCTAAATTCATAGCGCAGAAAGATTGGATTGTAGTGAGGCATTCCCAGGGTTTTGTTGTGTACGAAATTGATGCTTCGGACCTCCCGCGTATCACAGCAGGCACGGAATCGTACGAAAGAGAGGCTCTAGACTTCCCAATCGTCGCAGCACAAGACACACCGTTTGTGAACAAGATGGCAGTCCATCACAGTTTGCCGTATATATTGACAGGTTGTGCGAGCATTTCGTTATGGAATTGGGAGCGGGAATGGGAACTGACTACATTCAGGGGTCACACTCAACCGGTAACCGACGTGACATGCCATCCGACGGATTCGTTTGTCCTCGCAAGCGCCTCGTACGATGGCACGGTCAAAGTATGGGATATGGAAAGCAAGTCTGTTATGCGAACCCTTCAAGGTGATGGCATGAAGAGGGCTAATGCGGTCCAATTCTGCACCGGGCAGGAGAAGAAGCTGCTCGTGTCCACAACAAACTGTTTGGAACCCTTCGCACGGGTCTGGGACTACGAGAGCGGCGTTTGCGTCGCCAAACTACAAGGGTCCGGGATCGCCTTCTCCTTCTTCCATCCGCACTTGCCGTACATTTTTACGGCAGCAAAGAGTGGAGAAGTCAAATTGTGGAGAGAGTCAAATTATGAGCTGGTGTCATCCCATTATCCCAGAACCAGCACGGCGCATGGTTCTGTTGTGGGGATAACTCCATGCAAGAGTTCCAACATGCTCATTCTTGGGCTACGAGGACGGTTCTCAGTAGTTGAGATCCAAGTCGCAGCAAATGAAAGCATGAGAAAGGAGGGACAGAGACAGAGGCCGGGAGAGGAATGTGTTTCCACGAAAGATGTCCTCATAGAGACCCCTTTCAGTGTCATTGATGGGCCACCAGGAGGGGTGCTAGGAAAGAATGGTATGGGGGAGATGGGGAATCTGGTTGGCGATGCCAAGCTGAAAATCAAGATGGAAGAAGAAATCCATGTCCACACACCTCTCAGCAGCGCCATTGATGAACCGGGATTGGTGTTAGGAAACAATAATATGGAAGAGTTAGAGAACCAGGCAGTGAGCGTCAAGATAGAATCCGAGAGGGAGATGGAGCTGACGATGATCGATATGGAGCAGCTACAATGCCGGAGACCAGTTGACGGTTTCAAAGCAGGGTGTCGTCAGAACGATGTGGAGAGACTCCAGGCGAAGAGGATCCAGCAACTAGAGGAGGAGGTCTTCACGGTGATTGATATGGAGCAGCTACAGTGCAGGAGACCGCTTGACGGTTTGAGAGCAGAGTATCGCCAGAACGACGTGGAGAGCATCCAGGCGAAGAGGGTTGGGCAACTAGATGAGGAGGTGTTGACGGTGATCGATGTGGAGCAGCTGCAATGCAAGAGACCGCTTGACAGTTTGAGAGAAGAGTATTATCAGAACCATGTGGAAAGCGCCCAGGCAAAGAGGGTCCGGCAACTAGAAGAGGAGGTCTTGACTTTGAAGGAAGAGAGAGAGGAGGTGGGAAGAGAACTCGACAAATTCAAGGTGATGAATCAGCAGTTGCAGGTCGCCTTGCTCAAGGAGGTCGCAAAGCAAATGAGATCGGACGAATCGTCGGCAGCACGACTCACAAAGCCGGCGGAGGTCGCTAGGCGAATAAGGTCGGATGAATCGACAGCCACACGACTAGCGAAGCCTGTCCAACAGCTGAAGGAAATTGAACTGAAATGGAAGAAAGCGCACGACTATTTGAAAGGAGAGTATCAGATCAAAGAGAGAATTCAGGCAAAGTTGGTCCAGGAGCTAAAAGATAAGGTCCAGAATCTCATGGCAGATAGACAAGCAGTGGGAAGAGAGCTTGAAAACTTCAAGGTGAGAAGCGGCAAGTGGGAACAAATTGCGCGAAAGGAGGTCGATGAGCGACAGGTGTCGACTGAGTCAAAACCACGACTATCGAAGAGGGTCCAGGAGCTGAAGGATGATAATGTCCGAAATGCTTTGGCTGATAGGGAAGCAGTGGAGAAAAAAGACCTTGAAAACTGCAATCGGATGAATGGGAAGCAGCAACGTATAAAGCAGCCGAAGGGAAAGGATGTCAATGAGCGACATATATCGAGCGGATCGAGACCACGATTAACGAAGAGAGCCCTAGAGCTGGAGGCCGAGAAAGAGAGACAGGTTGGCGCGCGGAAGAGACTCAAGCTGAGGATTCGAGAACTTGAGTAGGGATGTTTTGAAAAACATATCCAGCGGCGATGATTTGAAAACTGCTTGCCGTGGTGGAGACCATCAGACAAAGAAAGACAACTTTGATTTCTCTCAAAGTTTTCCCTCAAATAGTCCATGATGCCAAACAGAAAGACAACTTCGATTTCGAAAGGAAGTGCAGCGATGGAGGTTGTCACCGACGTGTTTACCGGGGTAAACTGCATGATGGTTCTTCTGTTTGAGCTGCAGTTCGCAGGAAGAGGTCGAGATTGCCGAGTTGATGACAGAGCTGGTGGATAGGATGAAGATGCTGCGGCACTCCTGTCTGCTATCAGCAGAGAGAGAGAGAGAGAGAGAGAGAGAGAGAGAGAGAGAGATGCAAAGGACGCTCGCATCTAGATCTTGCTTGGTCAAGGGATAGCTAGCGCTTGGAAGTCAAATGGTGAGCGCTTATGATTGGTTTGGGTTGGAAATCAAACAGGAAAGCAACTGGGAGAGGCAGAGGGAAACAGACGGGTGGAGGAAAGGAGTGATCTCGAGGCAGACAGACAGATAGACAGACACCCACAGACACACAGACGCACACACACACACACACACACACACACAGAGAGAGAGAGAGAGAGAGAGAGAGAGAGAGAGAGAGAGAGAGAGAGAGAGAGAGAGAGAGA